TTTAACTCGGTTTTTGGTAGATTTTTATGTGACTAACATAAGGCTACTGTGGAAGTGCCCATTTCGGTTACAACGACATTCGTTTATAACGACACTATTTTTAGGTCCCTTTGATGATGTTATACCCAAGTTCTACTGTATTTATAAATTACAATTAGTATGTTTAAAAAGATTTTGTTAATTTTTTTTTAAACCAAATTGGTTCATGTCCTTTTATTTCTTCTCTTTGAAGGAAGTCAAGCGTCTACTGTCCTGTGGTTCTGTTGTCTGGAGAATAGGATTCTTTAGTGTTGTCCTGTTGATGTTCAAGGCATGCAATGTTGTTATACTAATTGTATTGAATTGAATTGAATTGAATTTATTTACATTCTATAAATCCTAAGTAGGTTAGTACCTTTGGATACAGAACAAGTCAAAAGGTTACATACATAAGTACAGGCAATTTTAGCTTAAAAATTAATATAACTTAATTTTACATCATTCTCTATTTACATTGAAGTATTCATCTAAAGAGTAGAAGGAATGAGCATGTAGATAATTCTTTAACTCTGATTTAAACTTTTTAGTATCATTGCCCAAGTTTTTAATACTTTGTGGCAGATTGTTGAACACTTTTATGCCAGTAAAGTAGACTCCTTTTTGATATACTGATAAAGTTGATGAGGGTAGGTGGAAGTTATATTTTTGTCTAGTATTCATGTTATAGACATCAGAATTTAATTTGAATTTATCTTTGTTGTAAACAACAAATAAGAGAAGCGATAATATGTATTGCGATTGAAGAGGTAGAATTTTTAATTTCTTAAATAATTCTCTACATGAATCTCTACTTCTACATCCTGTAATGATTCTAATTATATTCTTTTGTATTTTAAAAATTATTACACTATGTGAAGAGTTCCCCCAAAATATTAATCCATAGTTCATAATAGAATGAAAGTAGGCATGGTAAACCATCTTCAATGTTTCCTGTGACATAAAAGGCTTAATTGATCTCATCGCATAGCAAGCTGCATTTAATTTAGGTATAATTTGTTCAATATGTATTTTCCAAGACAGTGTACTGTCTACATGTATTCCAAGGAATTTTGTATCAAGTACTTTACAGATTAATTTGTTGGCATAACTGATGTCCAGATCAATTTGGTGGTTGTTTTTAGTTGTGAATGATATGTAATGGGTTTTATCAAAATTTAATGAGAGTAAATTGGCTTCGAACCATCTGTTTAAGGCTTCAAATACAATATTTCTGTCATTTTTAAAGTTTTCAAATTTAGAGTTCTTAAATATTATACTAGTGTCATCTGCATATAGAATTGGTTTAGATTTATTGTTGATGGTTTTAGATAGATCATTTATGTAGAGAAGAAAAAGTAAGAGACCTAAAATTGATCCTTGTGGAACACCGTGCTTTATAATTCCCCAGTTTGAAAATGCATTATGCATTGATATCCTTCTGAGGATGGTCTATGAGACCGAAACATGTCAAGGATGAAACATTAAAAAGGAGAAAATCTATCAGTCACACTGGATGAAATTAACCTTTTATAATACATTAATTCTTTATTCTTTTGATCCATCTACATCAACCCTTCTACCTTAATCATCCAGAAATAGAGATTTTAGATCTCCCATTACTACTGTGTTGAGAGCTTTATTTAAATTCAGTTGTAACAGTATGTTTGTCCTGGAATAGGAGAATTTCAGTCTCTAATTTCCACAGGGTCATTGGTTATGTTTCAGCTCACGGTGACAGTACTGAAAAATGCAATGCTTTGCCAGCTGGAATGTGTGCATGTAATGTCACAATAATGCCATGCAGAATCATTGAAGGTTAAAATAAGGTATAGAGTAATATGTTTTTGACAAATATATCATCCTCAGACCACTCTATTGTATATAAAACACTGAATGTCAGCTGCTTAACTAGAAAAGAATGCCATTAACAAACAGAGGTATTTTTTAAAATGATGATCCATTGGTTTACTGTATGTTCAAAAGTCACATGTATGCTATTTTACCTTAAAGTAAAATGATCACAAAATGCTAGAAATAGATGTATTGTACATAAAATCTTCTTTATCTAGCAGCCATGTCAGTTGAGTAAATATTACTGACATTTCAAGGACCATCTCTGTCCCTACCTAATATTGGTAATTTTTAACAAATTGGCATGACTGATAGCCTGAGAAGATTTTATCAAGTTGAACCGCTGTGAAAGCTTCAGATATATCAGATGTATTGTAGTCTCATGTTTCATGCTGTGACTTTAAGGTGCTAACAGGTGCTTTGCTTATGGGTATAATCACTGTTTGTCAATATGTTATACATATTGTAACTAGCATTGGAGTTTATTTTAATTTACTGACATTTATGTGTGTTCGTAGGTTTTAGAATTGAGATGATTTTTTTGTTTTTAATTTATTTTCACTGGATTGTATAAGTTCTGGCTCTTCATGACATGTGTTTTTATACAGAGAGCTGATGTTGCATGTGCAGAATCAGTATTGGCTACAATTTGTGTAACTTACATTAATTACATCCAGGAACAATGCCATCTTAACATTACAACATAACACATGGAGCTGAAAGATATAAATTTTTAATGTTATGTAATGTTATTAATTTGAGATGAAATATCACACATGTTGTTTATCAGTGACAGTGAATTGGTGGTTCGTCATTAAGAGAACACTATTTTCATCAATGTCGTATGTTTATAGTTGGCATGAAGATGACAGCTTCCTTGTCAAGCAGGTTGCATTATAACTTATATTAAAGAGTTCATGTATATGGATGTAAAGAATAAAAAACTGAATATAGAGTGCACAACAGTGTGCTACAGTAAGGTTTAGAACAGTACATGCCATGTTATTAATCAATATCTTTTGTATCTGATAACTTTCTTGGACTAGTAGTGGATTTTAATCAAATTATGTTAGTTTTCGCTCATGTTGTGTTTGTCAGATGTAGAATATGGGGATGCCATCCTTGCTGGTCGCAGAGTAGCATTGGGAGTACAGAGGCAGGTACAGCCAACATCAACGCAACAAGAGGTTGCCACTAGCCTATTTAGTCATGTCACCAAACTGGATAAGTCAGGTATGTGTTTATTCCTATGCATTAACTGTTTTGATGTCATGACAGACACAATTGTGTATATTCTTTTACATTTTGCCATCTGCTGGTAGCACACAAACTTCAGTAGGATTTTTGTACTGTGACCAACTTTTACTCTAGCTGGTTTGAACAATTTTGCCATGTTCATTCCTCTACATTTTAATTTGTGAATGCAAGCTGTAAATGGAAAGAAGGTTGTTATTCACACAGTGGAAGTTATGTGTAACACATCAACAGCAGTAAGAGAATGCGTCTAAGCGACATGCACAAATTTGCTGAACATAAGGATGACATGTTATTGACAGAAACATGGACATGTGTAGCTGTAAAGGCACATTATAGGCTGACTAATGTGAATTACTGCAGGGCATGAAATTTCCTAAATAAAGACACAACACTTGCAGTAGTATATAGTTAATGTTGTTTCTTCTGTTAGGTAGTTGCACTATGTGGATATTGGTAATATTTCAGCCCCAAAGATGGGCGCAGCATTCTTTTGGCTGTTTGTTCTTTGTGGATATGGGCAGTCATGCTGGTGTTCTGGAGGCAGCATATATGTCCAAACCATCCTCACCATGCATATACCCAAGAGAAGAATCAACATTGACAGTAACTGCCTTGAAAGCCTAAAATCAAACATGAATAAAGAGTGTTAATAATTATTGTGGTTACCATATATTCTTGTTGTATAATATAAATACTCTGCTGTATCCAGATATGGTATGTAAAGTGGTTTGATATTTTATCATAGACTCTATCTTAATATTTTGTGAATTTCAGTTCACAATAGTATATCATTTGGCTGAATATGTACAGAATATTAATGTTGTCAGAGAGTCTCTGAAGATGGATCCTATAAGGTACTGAAACTTTTTTTGCCTGTCAGTATTATATCATTGACTATAGTTAAACAAAAGCTTTTTGGAAGTCTGGCTGTCTAAATGAAGAAGAGGTATTCTTGAAAAGCTAATGGTTGCCCATTTCATCATTACCGTGTTCACAAGAGCCCACCGTTGGTCCCTATCCTGACCCAGATGGATCCAGTTCACTTCTGTCAGTGGCCTCGTCTTCTCAACGGTCTCTTCCCTTCAAGTTTTCCTACCAAAATTTTGTATGCATTTCTCTTCTTTCCCATGTGCTCCATGCCCAATCAATTTTATCCTCCATGATTTGGTCATCCTAATAATATTTAACAACCCATATAAACTATGAAGCTCCTCCTTATGGAATTTCCTCCACTCTTTGTTACTTTGTCTTTCTTGGTTCCAAGTGTTTTCCTTGCCATCCTTTTCACAAACACTTTTTGGAAGATGTTCATTATAATTTAACAATAAATAACAGAAGTAAAACATATTTACTGATGTATTTTGGTAACTTATTGTGCCATGTTGAGGGAGAAATGTCACATTGTCAAGAATACAAGTAAGAAACTATTTCATATTACACAGTTTTTCCAGTTTTTCATTCTAATATAAATTTTAATTTTTGTCATTGAATGTGGTATTAGAATGAAGCTAGTGACATACTTTAGTAATGGAAGGTTTGCTATGAGTTGTTATACTCTGAGACACTTCCTGTTTTGATTTCAGCTGCTATTGTGGGCTGCAAGGAAGTGATTGACAAGTATTCAGACTACATGTCTGAGACGATGTTCAGCATTAGTGAGAACACTGAGAGTAGTAACAAGCACGTGCAGTGTATAGTAACTCCAGATGAGTTGGTGGTGTCACAGACTTGCAACATAGCACGAGAACACTCTTTTACACTAGCTCATGTTCAGGTGGAGAAAGCTAAGAGTGATGACAAAACTGAGGTTATAGGACAAGTAAACAGTTGGTGTAAATTGGTATGGGAACATATGGCATACAAAGGTCTATGTGTGATATTATTTAGTGGCCAAAAGGGTGGTGCAAATGGTGCATGCTTCATTGCGGTCAAGAGACCACCTCTGCCAAGTCAGGCATAGACTTCAACAGCTGTGCACCTCTGATGTGGAGCCATATTGCATTCACCATCTTCTGTATGTGTTCCTTTTCTCTGGATTATTCTTTAAATTGAATTATGCATAAATCCTTTCATCTAGGCACAATGCCATGAAAGAAAGTGAATGACATTGTTTTGACATTTACTGACAGCCTCAAAATTGACACTTTCAGAATAATTAAACATTTATACATTTTCTTAATTTTCTTATGTTATTAATTTTATATTTCACAGGTTAATTTCAGGTGTGTCATACACCTAAATCATAAATATAATAAATTTATAATAAAATAGCAATGTGTTATAACATTGTGTTATAGATGTGTGATAAAAATGTACAAAGTAGACATGGCTGTACATATTAAAGAAATTTATTAAATATTGTTTTCTGAAAAAAAAATGGGGATATATTCATGAATCGCCTTGGTATAAGTAGCCAGAAAGGCAGAGTGTAGTTATTTGTGTGTGTTTCTGCAGAACCTTGAGTCCACAGACAAAATGTGACGAATGATAGCATGAAAGGTCAGTATGAGTTCAAGATAGAATAAATAAGGATGAGCCCTATCATTTGCACCCAAATGAGAGGATGAAGACAGAATCCAGTCTCCAAAACATTATATGTTTTAAATAGAAACAAGACGATGGATAATGTCCAGAAACACAAAGACTATATGAATAAAACCAATTGTAATTTAAGTAGTTCCAAGTACATCTATAATAGTTTCTGGACAGATGCTAATACAGCAGTTGTGGCAGATAGAGTGGAGTTTGCTTCTCATACATGCTGGCAGTTACAATGCCATCCTTGGTAAAGATCTGAATGTGCATTGCACCTGTGACCACATCATATTAAAAGTGATGGCAGAGGAAATTTGCAGTAACTGTGAAGGATCAGTAGCAAGCTCCTTGATGCGATCATTGATTCACACTTTCTGTGAAAGATTACCACAGATTACAAAATCTCGTTTTTCCTGTATGATAACCAAAGTGGTTACTAATGCCGCACTTTGACAATGAAGTAATTTGTGATTTTAACCTCAACTGGCTGACATATTTGTAACCCATTTTCTATTCACTTGGATGATTTATGTTACCCAGTGCCTTCAGTTGGGTTAAGTGATTTCAAATTGTTCTCACCCACTCTTCCCTTCCAAACGTCACTGCAGTTGTGCCACCACAGCAGCATCTAGAAGCATAGAAGGGAGGTTGTGAGTGACCAGAAATTTTACCTTCACTCGGCTCTTACCACAAGTGAGAGGTTCTTTTACATGCTATAACTGTATGGCATGGGATCCCCCACTTTACCTCTCCTCCAAAGGAATTTGTGCTGTAGATTTTTCTCACCCTAAAAATCCATCAGCCTCAGCTAGATTTGAACCCACAAAACTTGGGCCCAATGGTGAGCACATTACTTCTAGACCACTGAGGCAGACAACTGATAACCAAAATAAATGACAGTCCTTAATGTGAAAATTGCCACTCTTGCTGAGACTAACAAAGTTCCATTAGCATCACTTGAAAGGGAAGATGAAAGAAGATATGTTCAAGTGACAGGACATTGTATACCACTTTATTGTTGCTGAGAACGCTACAATCAACAAGAAGAGGTAGGAAAAGGTGCTTGTCTGTCTGCAGGAGGCAATTCACCTGAAACATTTTGGAAATATAAGTTGCCAAAAAGTGGGTTCTCCTGCATGACAATGCCCCATCTTGCCAATTGTTACTTGTGCAACAGTACCTTGCCAAGCATGTTACAATGACATTTCTAGACAGTGCAGTGAGAAGCTTCCAGGTAGGCCTGATTTTATGTAGAAACATCAGACTACTCCATTATTACATAATCTCACTCTACTGTGGTGCTTTCCCATCCACACTGCTCTCCTGATCTTGCAGTATGATTCGTACTTTTTTCTGGCAGCCTCATATGGATAATTGACAACTTATTTCAAGCAAATAGCGGCTCTGGTCTAGAAGACAAAAATTAACGGCCTTGGGGATTCATTGCGCTGACCCCACAACACCATCTATCCACTAAAGTTGGCACTAACTTCACCAACAAGCGACAGTCGCTCGGTCGGTATAGTGCACTTGCGGACTAGAACCATGTAGTTAGTTTCTGTTGATGAAGGACTGGTTGAAGGGCTTTCATTTCAAGGATGCCCGAAGGTGGTTCTAAGGTATTGTATTCCAGGTATTGCCAAACGCATTAATAACGTTAATTCTATTTTGGGTTTTTACACATATGACTGAGCAATGATGCAATATTTCTGAGGTACAGGATATTTCCAGAATTAACATCAACAGTCAACCACTGTAAAAGTCTAAAATCAGTAATCCCACAAGTGTTCTTTAAATTTAAATTATTGTAAATTGGTGGCAGCATGTCTTCAATGAGATATTGTGCTTCCCCATATACTCGTAAGATGGGTTTCCTTTCTCATTATTGGGAACAATAGTTATGTCTGAAATCAATGGAAATAGGTTCCTCAAAATTTACAGCTCTGGAACCTGCTACCATATTTATCCCCATTTCTAGTGCTTGACCTGAAGTTAGATAGATTTTCTATTCATTGGTGTACTTCTTAACGTTTTTTTTATAAATTAATTTAATCTGGAACATGATTCCCCCAAAGTAAAGATAATTATGAAAGATTTAAAGTTTACACTAGCATTATAAATTGAATGATGGAACCATAAATTGCATACTCATAAGTGCAGACAAATTTGCTTTAGGAAGCATTTACTGTAATGACATAACTATTTAACTTCGTATACACGGTATAAATTTTGTACTAGTGTTCACTTCAAAAGACTGAAGTGCGTTCCATGCATTTTGGCAGTTCAGTGGATGATCTCTGACTTGCGTTGCACATGCACGGAATTCGTGCCCAGTACCACATATTCACGACGATTGATGACACAGGTCTGTAATTTCCTATTTTATTCATAATGTACTTAAAATAAAATACGTTGTGAAAAATCGTGGTAGTGCACATAAATGACAGCTCGTTTGAAAAATTATCATGGTGACAAACGAAAATCAGAAGCGGTCCATGTGTGCTTTCAGTGTTCTAGTGCGGCTGCGCATTGGAAAACATGCAAGACAAAGCGGTTAACGCCGGTTAGTATATTGTAATATTAAGTCGAGAGCCAGCGCACAATGCAGGAAGTAAATAATGACTTAAATGATTTTCAATGCATTGTTTATCAGAAGGAAGGGAGAACACGGAATAATGAAACGTTAGCAAATAACCAGGAGTTTCACCAAACACTGGGAAGTCAGACCGGTGTTCCTGCTGAGTACACCCGAACTTTGCAAGGATCAGAAAAAGAACGCGAGGAACAAAAAATGCTGGAGAATCTGAAATCTAACATTCGGACATGGAGTGTAAAAAGCGCAGAAGAGATGAGGAAATTTATTGTTTCAGCCGAAGAACAGAAGAAACAGATTCAAGACTTTCTCGAAGTGCGGAACTCAAGAAGGAAGAATGTTGCTGAAGCAAAACTTCAGAATGAAGCGATAGGCTTGGAGTTGCAGACTTCACGAAGAAATATACAGGAATTGGAATCTCAGTAAGATTTCGTCATATGTAATCAGTTAGCAGTGCCTTTGTTCGGGCAGGTTATAGGCTGTTGACTTGTTTTATTTCTTCTCTCATCCTCTGGCATGTCCAGTTCATTGGCACCATTCTCTCTTCAATTTATAGTTATTGCATATTTATTTTCATGTACTCCCGAGTAAAGTCTCGTAACGGTAAGCCATATGATGTACAGTAGCATGATAGGTATATGAAATGAAGTCTTAAAACATCGTTATAAATGTTATATTTTAGCGTCCTGTTGCACTGATTTAAGTTCATGATTTGTTTATTCCGTCTTGCAGTGCATACACTTATCTATCTTTTTTAGCGTCCTGTTGCACAAGGCATACAATGTACTAGTTTGACGTGAATTGAGTAGCACCTGAAGATGGCATTCTTATGCCGAAACATGTAGTGAAAGTGAGAGAAGAAGATAGATAAGTGTATGCACTGCAAGACGGAATAAACAAATCATGAACTTAAAACATCGTGTTGTGAGTACGTGAACGAAGTTTTTTTTTTTTTCAACTCTGTATTATGCGTTCTTAGTAAAGTTAGGACCACTCCATAGCTCAAGCGGTTAGTCGCTGGCTTCCCACCTCGGCGGCCCCGGTTCGATCCTGCGTCTGTTCAAGTGGGATTTGTGGTGGACAAAGTGGCGCCGGGGCAGGTTTTCTCCGAGTACTTCGGTTTCCCCTGCCGATCTTCATTCCACCAATTGCTCCACAGTCACCCTCACCTATCATCTGGGGCTGGTACAATAGGCCAGAAGTGGCCGCAGTACAAGGGACTACTCCCACCCCACTAACAATAAAAAAATAGTTAAGTTAGGGACCAAAGCAGTGCTTCCAGGCACGATATTACTTTTAACAGTGTTTCGTAAAATATTCGCCTGATCGAAAAATATATGCAAACCAAATCTGTGATGTAAATATTTCATAACTGCGCTCCATGATATGAACGCCACTTATATCCAGGCCGATTCTCTAAAGGAAAACAATTCTCTAGAGTGAGTCATACCGTTTCTCTCTCGTACTCCTACCGTAGCAAGAAATGGTAAAGGATTCCCCCGATTTTAATGCCATAAAGCACCATGATTCAATTTTTTTTTAAATTACGCGATTGGAGCGTGGCGGTGCACGTACTTTTGTTACGGGAGCAACATTGACGCTGATTAGTTAAAATTTATTCGATGTTTGATCTCTTACAAGCGCACAGTTTTGTGTAAAATAGTAAACAAAGATGGCGACGAAGCGAAATCTTTTTATACAATCTTTTGAATCACCGGAGCAAAGTACACATGGCGCGATTTTGGGTAGATATAAAGGAAAACATTTGCTGGATATTTTCTGCAGCTATTTTTATGTGTAATTGAAAAGTCCTAAGAGGACCAGGGCACAGATTGTTGAGGTTATGTTTCCAAGAGATATGATTAATTATAATTAATAATTATAATTGTAATTAATAATTATTGATCTACCCGGACCTCTCTGTATGTGAAATCGGATTTTCCGAAATGGTAGTGTTGTAATCCAGGAATCTTCACCACTTCAAATCGATATAGGCCTATGTATTGGGCATTCAAAGTATGCAATTTTTCATGCTTCTTGGTTACTTAATTATATGACAGTAGAAATACAGAAACAGCTTTCTCTTTACTTTCAGAGATTTTTTAATTACATCCTTTGTCTGTGTTAGTATAATTTTTTAACAGACATTTCTACATTGTTATGAATGAAGCTCAATAGAAACGTAGAATTTAAGCCACAACCATTTTGTTCCCGTTATCTTGTAGGTCCCTATTTATAGTCATACTTATTGCTTTTAATGGTAAGATAACCATTAATTAATTAGCCATTAAACCAATCTATAGACATGCCAGATGAATTTAAACTTTGAAACTACACACAGTTTCAAACACAATAGGACTAGTTTCTTGAAAGGAGCTGTAATTGTTTTGCTTAAATTCATTTATTTACCTACAGTACATTCTTAAACTGTATTTCATAGATTTCTTCTTCCAAGAATAACAATGGAGTACACAAGGCATTTCTTTCCTTGACCCATGCATTATGTCAAATAGCGACCGCATCATAAAGTAAACCATGAAAAGAGCAGGATATCTGATTTTTCTCTACTGTTTTTAATTGAAATTAATTAACTTAACAGCATCACTAAAAATAAGTTCTCTGTATAAATGTTAATAACAGTTTTCTAGTACAGAGCAATAAGAATTTTTCTAGAACTAGTTTGAAATATACTTCTTACACACTTCTTCTATGCACAATAGATCACTGTAGGTTGTGGTGCAAGTGCCAAGAAGGTCCACCCCTTATACATTTATGTACTTTGCAGAATTTCATATTATTAAAATTGAGAAATTTTAAGTTTTCAGGAAGATTTTAATTGGTTTTGAGGGTATTATCACAGGAAGGTTTCCAATAAAAAAAGACAATCCCCTGAAATACAAAGTAAACTCTTTTGATAATGAGCCTTCATTGTAGTTTTGTGCATGCCTCTATGACTTAAAAATCGTGAGAATGAACATGTTCGCAGTATAGGACAAGGCAAAGCCAGATATAGAAAATATGAGAGGTTTAAACTTGCTGGTGGTCCAGCTTATGACTATTCAAGTGACTAAGCTGCCATTGTAGCATAAGATATGTAAGATAAACATGATCTGCTTTGCAAAACCTGTACTGACAGAGGACTTGTATATAGTGCAAAAGGAAGAATTTTCAATAACATGCTATATGTGCGATACATGAACTTAACAAAAGGCCAAGCGTATTCAAAGAGACAAACCTGTCTTCTCATCAGAATGGATATTACATAAGGACTGACTACACATGTTCAGTGAAAAAATAATCTCTTGTTGTCTCAGAGGACTTGATGCCAAGACGAACTGATTGGCAATAAACGACCAGTTCTAAAGTAACTTTGACTTTGAGGATCATCCCCTTTGTGAATCATGTAAAATACTCTTACCTCAACAAGATGATTACAGTGGGGTTATATATAAAATTGATCAAAGCCAAGGTATTCAGAACATATATTGCAGTCTATCAGCTATTCAGAACTGAGCAATTATGCGCTAACATTAAACTAACCTTCTATAAAGCACTAATTACATCAGTAATGACTTACACTTGCCCTGCCTGGGAATTTGTGACAGATACCCACCTTTTGAAATTGCAGCATTTGCAAAACAAGGTTCCCTGCGCCACTGGTAAATTTCCATTTCATTTCATTTCATTTCATTTCATTTCATTTATTTCGTGCCCATGGATCATTATACATGATATAAGACATGTCATTCTTGTGTAGTTATAGTATAATAAGTTTCATGATGTTACTATTGGGGGGGGGGCTGCATGTGAAGCATTCAGTGAAACGTGGAATTTGGGTACCAACTCAGCATTTGCTCTGGGACCAAGGAAAACCATGGAAAACCTTGATCGAATTGGCCGGTCACAAGACCTCCCAGATACACTGGTTTCTAGCAGCACCACTCCCACCGCCTCGGCTCCATATCCCATAGTCCCTGCTGTGTTTTCTCCAGCACATGGCGTCCTGTTTCCTGCAAGAAGAGAGTTACGCAGTATACACTCCTAGTGTGTGTTAAGCTAAGCTCAATTGTTCTTACTTTTAAATTATTATATGATCCTAATGTGAACTAAGTCTTGTCCACATAGGAGAGGAACTCATCTATGCTATAAAAGCAATGTTTTAATAGAAATGTTTTCAAAGTAATTTTAAATTTACATAATGCTGGTATCTCTTTAATGTATTGCGGTAGGTGGTTTAGAAGATGAAGACCAAGATTATTGAAATTGTTTTTACACAAGCTTGTATTGCATGGAACAATGTATAAGTCCTCTTTCCTTCTTGTATTATATGAGTGTACATTTGCATTGGTTATGAAGGTATTCGAGTTGGATTTCATGTAAACTAGTGTTTCATATATATAGAGGCATGGTAGAGGTAATACGTGTAGTGATTTGAAATACTGTTTGCAGCTAGTAGTTTTGGTTACCTGCATTATGGCTCTAATGGCTCTCTTTTGTAACTTAAAAATCGACTCTGCGTTTGATGAATGACCCCAAAATATCAATCCATATGATAACAAGGATTGAAAGTATGCATGGTATAGAGTTCGAACAGTCTCGATCCCTAGCACTCTGCTGACTATTCGTAGGGCAAAACATATTTTACATAACTTGTTTGCTAGCTTTTGAGTATGTGTAGACCACTTTAAATTCTTGTCTAGCCATATTCCCAAAAATTTTGTGTATTCCACATTATTGATTTCTTTGCCATAAAATTTTATTGACGGGTATTCTAGGTACATCTTCTGAGTGTGATGGAAGGATATTGCTACCGTTTTCTCTATATTAATAATTAACTTATTCCTTTTGAACCACTCTGTGAGTGTATTTATTGTTTCACTTATTTCGTTTTGGACAACATCGACCATATTCCCTGATATAAAAAGACTGGTATCGTCGGCAAAGAACGTTGGTTTTCCCTGCTGAATACCTGCTTCTAAATGATTGATATATAGCAGAAACAAAACTGGTCCAAGAACAGAACCTTGCGGGACTCCATGACTTACGGGTCTTTGTTGTGATAGCCAGTTAATGCTTTCCTTGGTTTCTCTATCCCTATATGTAATTTCTACTTTTTGTTCTCTTCCTTCCACATATGTTTGAAACCATTTAAGCGCAACCCCTCATATTCCCATTCGTTCCAGCTTCCTTAACAGTATATCGTGATCGACTAGGTCAAAAGCTTTAGATAGATCCAAAAATAATCCTATACCTATTTCCCTCTCATCCCATGAGTTATATACTTTCCATAAAAAATCAGCGATTGCAGTCTTTGTTGTTTTCCCTTCCAAGTTTCATACTGGTCTGTTAGTTAGACATGGCATTCCAAGTTCCTTATACAGGGAGGGTTTTTACTTTGTTGACTGGTTCCATTACTCTCTGCATAACGGTGACTGGGGCACTGCTTGCCATGAGTTTCATATGAATTTTGCTGATGAATCAGCATGCCTGATGGACAATAATGTTCAGAATGAAGTAGTTACAATTCACAGATCACAGGAGGTGTTGAAAATGCTGTCCCTCTACACGTAGATATCTTTCACAATTAATTGTTTCGTTAAAAAACGTAGGTACAACTATCCTTCCTGCACTTAACAGCACACGAGACACCAGCTTTCACTGGATGGAGGACTTCATGGGTTAGGTGTGGATTCTTTGAACTCCAGTAGTGATTATTTTGCATATTTATATATTCCTGCAAATGAAACCATGCTTCATCAGGAAAGAATATCAGTTGCAGATCAATCTCACTTTTTATGATAGATTGTAGAAACCATCTGCAAAAATGAACCCTGCTAGCTGGATCATGTGGCTGCAAGGCATGCGTGGATTACTGTTATTTTATAAGGTCTAAGCTTAAGCGATTGTGTTGCCGTTCTTGCACTAGACTTTGTCATTCCAGCCTCTGGAGCTAGAAGGTTTAAGTGATTTTCTAGGTGTGTGTTCAAGTTTGACCCCTGTATCATCTAACTTCTCTTTAAGAAGCACTCGGCATGTATGTTTTTGTTTCTTGTCCTCCTATCCATTAAGAGTCCCATTGTTCTAAGTTTATTCATGAAATTGTGAGTTGTTTGTCTCCTTGGAACTCTTTCACCACAAAATTTACATAAAAATTTTCACCGACATTTTGTAGCAATCCGTATTTCACAGAGGAGTAAAAAAAGTAAAGCTATCCCTATAACAGGCCGTGAAGGCCCATCCACAGAAGAGTAATACAGAAATACACGTTGCTCTGAAGTATACCACATCATGATGTACCACACTGCTCACTAACTGTAGCTGAGAACAAATGGCTAATGGAGCTGATAACTGCTGCCTCATGCTGACAAACCATAAACAAACTCCCACAAATGAATTGCACTGCTCACTGTGAAACATAATGTCAAGTGGCCTGCAAGTTAATTACTCGCTTTCATTCCAAATGTTATCAGCCATTGGGCATGCTGATTCATTGGCAGAATTTGTATGCTCATTGCAACCAGCGGTGCACCAGTTGTCGTGAAGCACAGAGCCATGAACTGATCAATAAGGTTAAAAATATTCACTGTATTCATGATTACAAAACGAAATTGTGCAGGCAACAAGCAGAGGCCTAAAAAACTCATGAAAATGCAAATGCTCATGACAATGGGAAAGGTGAAGCCCTACACAGAAAATATAAGAGGGTTAAGCTTTGCGGCAGTCAAAAGTACGACCATTCAAGTAACTAGACAGCTGTTGTAGCACGAGCTGCATGAGTTAGGGCATAATCTGCTGTGCAAAGTCTAGACTGACAGAAGTCTTGTGTATATTGTACATACATATATGTTAGAATTACATGTAAAACTGTAAATAATAGGTATCCACAAGGAACTGGCCTCTTGACTACTGACTGACTATATAGAATGAAAAACACGTGAAATTGTAAATATAGATGTCATGCACTACTGATTTTGACTGTGGTAAATGACAGACCCATCCTATTGTCAGAGAGGGTGCCCAACATCGATAAAACTGCAACTGTCTGACAGTAACAAAAAATCCCTAGGTGGGGCTTGGGACCAAGAATGACTTACCAGCCATCTGTCATAACATGACTTTGACTTGACTTGAAGATGGTCAGTCAGAGTTCATAGTCAGCAGTTATTCAGTCTTTGAGTTGCACTGTAGAAGCAATGGTAAACAGAAGAGTTTGATTTGTTTCATTCTGGTCCATCACACTAATAATATCACGAAAAGTTAAACAGTCCTGTCTAGTGTGACTGGTGAAGATTTTTCTTATTTCAATTATTTATTCCCTTACATATTTTGGTCTTCAGAGACCATCATTAGAGGGACAGTATTCTTAAGCAAATAATGTTGTATACATATGGTAAGATAAGCCAAGCTATACATCTCAGAATATAAAGTGTTTTGAAAGTTTAAATAGAGAAATTGAGGTCAGTCACTCATGTGTGTTTCAGATTCGATCAGGTTCAAAATATCTGCAATGAGCTGCAGCAACATTGCAACCCTGTGGCTGTCACACTTGAGAATTGTGTGCAAGCTAAAGAATGCATTGTGCACTACTATGAGCACATCAGGCAACAGGTCAAGGAAGAGGATGAACTCTTTAAGGTGCAGAAAGTCCAGTTAAAGAACACGGAAGAACGTTGGAGACAGCAAGGTTGGTCTCAACGCAATCCATGCAAATACTATATGAGATCTGAGGTTGTCAAAGCTGTGACTGTCTCCTTTGGTGTGACATCATGTAGACCATTACTAATGCTTCAGAGGCACCTGCTTCCTTCATTACTCTTTTACCTTGAAGATGCAGGCAGCAGGTGTTTCCTAAGGTTGGTAAATATATCCCTCATACACTACATAGAGCCAAATTCCACAAGGCAGGAAGCTGAGGCTTGCTTGAGAAGCCAACAGTTGCACAGGTACACAATAAATCCCCAGCATTTTATTGAACCCAAAAGTTTATTACCATTTTCATGAGAGATTTCACTGGTCTCTATCCTGAACCACATGAATCCAGTCCATATCCCCTATCCTATTTCTAGATCTATTTTAATAATATCCACCTACCAAAATTATTATAATAAATATTGTTATTATTTATTTCATCCATAGCTGTAGAGAATTACAATTGGACATGTCAAATATCAACAACCTCACATCAGAAATAACATAACATTCACACAGTGATCCATCACTATAATACAGCAACACATTTCAAAACACATTCTTAACCCAATTTAAGAATAACAGCTACTCCAAAAAAAGACATAAGAATAAATATTTTAAACATATAGACAGATTTATTAACAAGCAGGTTACATCAACAATTAATAATAATAAATACTCCAAAAAAGGCATAAAAATATACAGACAGATTTATCAACAAGCAGTCCATGTCAGCAATTATTAAAAAATTCTTGAAGAGAATAGAAGATGATATATGATATAAACTTCATCCTAAGTGCAACAATTTATTGTAGGTCTTTTGTCTTGCTTTCTTTTACACTACATGTTTCGACCGCAAACGGCCATCATCAGGTGTATACACTTATGTAGTTGTTACACTGCACTTAGTTTAAAATTTAAAACACCGGTCTTCCCGATTGTTCCCTTCGTCGTTGCTAACAGAATCTACTTCGCTGATATTTGTCTGATTCGTACATTATCTTTGTTACCTACACACGTCAATTTTGACTTTCATGAGCTGGCACTTTTAAATCTTCAGTTCCAATTTTAAAAATTCATTTAAAATTTTTTCTAAATTTTAAAATTTTTTCTAAATTTTAAAATTTAGAAAAAATTTTACATTACACAACAAATAATTCTTAAGTTTCTTCTTAGAAACATTAAAATCCATTACATTCTTTAATTCATTTGGAAGGCCATTAAATATTTTGGTTCCCATACTAATCACCCCTCTCTTGCTACACTCAGTATTACAAATTGTACGTACAAATTGTGTTTATGAATAGTGTTGTAGCCATGAACATCAGAATACTGAGTGGTATAAATCTTATTTTTTATTATAAAACATAGGATCCCAAAAATACAAGGTGGTTCAAATATGACTGGGACTGATTTTTTTTAACCAAAATTGCCAAACACTTACTTGCACATGTCAGTCTTCAACGTGCTCCCCTCTGGAGTCAACACATTTTTTCCAACGTTCTGGAAGCATCCTGATGCCCTTTTCAAAAAAGTTTTGCGGTTGGCGGCGTATCCACTCCCGAACATTCTGGATGACGGCATCATTGTCCACAAACCGCATGCCTTGCAAGTCTGATTTGAGCCTTCCGAACAGGTAGAAATCACTTGGTGCCAAATCGGGACTGTACGGCGGATGTGTCAGAAGGTTCCATTTCAATTTCCGGAGGGTTTCCATTGTTGTTTTGGCTGTAGGGGGGGGGCGTTCATTGTCTTGAAGGAAGGCTACCCGCTTTCCACTTCTCTTCCGCTTGGATTGGATCTTTTCCTTCATGTCTGTTTCCGGGAGGTCTGAGTAATAAGCTGCATTGACTGTTCTGGCATCTGTCAGAAAGTCTACATGGATAACCCCCTTCCAGTCCCAGAAGAACGTTGCCATCACTTTTCCTGCTGAACGGCTCCTCCGCGCTC